ACGTTACAACGTAGAGAGCAAATCTTGGGTGATAACATCGCTTAAAATATCTGACTCTTCTCACACATATTTTATTATTATCCGCTCAATGGCAATTTAACAAATATATTTGTAAATATTAGTATTAACCTATAGTAACTGTTTTAAATATTTGGTAATATGAATCTAAATCTTATCTATATTTTGTTGAAAAGCACTCATATACGTTATTTCCATGATTTTGATGAACTGGAATCAAAGTCATCTTTAAATAATTTCCAAATCGTGAAATATCCAATTGAACTAGAAAAATTATTTGAATAAAATTTAACTTCCTAATGGCTATCTTCGTGTTCCGCCTGTTGTAAATATTTCAACATTTGCTTACCTTAAGTTTTATGTTGTCTGATGATATTGTTGTCCTTAAATGGTTATTACACGCTAACTTTGGTAAATATTAAAGACGAAGAATTATAAAAGTTCGCTGTATGTATGTACTGTGATGTATTCGGCTTATCAGATACTCCAATGAAGTAAATTATAACAAAGATGCCTGCGCATTGTGCACACACTTTCAGGAATTTTATTTTTTTTTTAATAGCTATATTTTTCAATGTAAAAAAATAATGGTAAAACAAAAAAAAACAGGATAAGGATAATTAACAAGAGAAGCGAGAAAAAAGCATCGGACAGATATATCACTACGTTTAGAATGAAATTTTATTTCATAATCATAAATTTCTTGTATTTTTTTATTGTAAATGCTAATCGCTTCTCTCTTTAACTTTTTAAGTATTACGAAATAATTACTTAAACGCCATAATATTTATAATATTTATATATGTATATAATATTCTACACCACAATACTAATTGAAAAATAATAACATTACAACATATGTGTATACTCATATATAAGTATATTCTAATGTATGCATTTTCGCGTCCAAGTGTAATATTGTATTATTAATTTTTTTGTTATTTTAATATTTTATATTCGCTTCTTATCTTAATAACTATTTTTCTTACTCTATAATCGAGTATCGAAATTCCTTATCATATTACAATTTATATTAACGTTGTTACTAGACTAACAAGAATTCATCATTACCATTATGAATTAATTAATAACACAGATCTGTATGGTTTTGTTTATTGTTGTTGACCAACTGAAGGTCATTTCCGAAGTAATTTTTTGCGTAGAATTTGAATCTGGAGTCAGAATGTGTCCATCACGTCAGGTTTTTTAGATATCCTCACCTAAGGGGACAAAAAAATGGTTGTTTTGGTATATTTAAGGTCCCGTAACATCACGGAAAATTTTTTTTTTAAATGAAAAAACCATCTGATAAATCTACTTTTACCCTTTAAAATTCATATTTAAGATTTGAGATATCTTGATTGAAATCAAGTATTTTAGCATAGCAGATTACAGAGCTTGAGGGTTAAGGCAATTAGGGTATAAGAGTCTAGGGTTATGGCGTTGTTGGTTATAGGGCTCGAGGGTTAAGGAAATTAGGGTATAAGAGTCTGATGTTATCACCTTACATAAACCATATATATGTATCCAGAAAATTAGCTGTTTCAAAATTGTTAACATACTTGATTTCAATCAACGATTTCTCAATGAAGAGAAAAGATATCTCAAGGTAAGAGTAGACCTTTCAGATGGTTTTTCCCGTTTTCAAAAAAAAAGAAAAATTTCTTCGTTGTTGCGGGACCTCAAATATATAAAAAATCCACCTTTTTTGCCCCTTTAATTTAGGACATCTAAAAAACCGGACGTGATGGACAAATTCTGACTCTAGATTTGTATTCTACGCAAAAAATTACTTCGGAAATTACCCTCAGTGGACCAACAACAATTATAACTTCTTATTTTGCAGATTTGTGTAACTTATATGTTGTAGAATTAACAAAATCTGTAAATATTCATAGTTATTTCCTAAGTTTATTGCCTATTTTTTATGATTTATATGTACTTGTAAGTATAACGAAATATATTTGTATGTTTCGTATTATCAACGAAAATTTAATCGAAGACACTCTTGATAATTTCCTTATATAATTAAAAAACAATATTTCTTTAATAAATATATCACAAACTGACAATAGTATTTTATCATTGCATTCTCAAACCCGAATTGTATTTATTTACTCTACTTATAATGACAATAAAAATCAAATAACTACGAAGATTATAAGAGTAATTATTATTGTATAACGCAAAAACTACGCTTTTAGTTCCCCAAAACCAGTGGTAAAGCATTTTGAAATATTTGAATTTAGACCGATTGCCGCTACATACTTGAAAAAAGAAAAAGATAATTCTAGTTACATGACTATGATTAGACAAACATTTTTAGAATTTGGTGGAATTGATTTTTTTTTATTTTACAACTTTCAATATTTCCTTTGTATTAAATAAAATAAAATTCTAGTAACTCATAAAGCTCTGTTCTTTTCTTTTGCCATGATAAATTGTAGTAAAGTATAGATCTTAACGCAACTACAAATTATTTGACAATTCTTTTTAATTTAATTTAATTATTATTTATATAGGTATTTAAAATCTAGGAATCATACAAACTATGCCAAGAATTTTATTTTCAATACTCTTTTGTCTTTAATTTTTTATTTATATATAATAATATGTTTTATATATGACTCTATTTTAAAAACTGATTTCATTTTACATCTCTCTTTAATGTTAATACTAATACTAATACTGCAAACGGAATGTATATAAAAATAAAACAATTGTAGTAATGACAAAATAAAAGAAAAATATTTATTTAGATTATTTAAAAAAGATCTTCTATTTAACAAAACAATCATATTGTTTCGAATTTAGCGCGTTCACGGCCTTACATACATATATGTACCTACATGTATTATGTTGTATTTAATTTTAATGAGACTCAATTTTATCGTCCTGATAGTCTTAATATGATTGCAGTTTTTGTATTTCTAAATGTTATCAGGAAAATGTTTAATTACTTTATAAGTTAAGCTGTTCCGATATTCAAATTGTTATTAAATTTGTAATTAACAAGGGAAATGCGAGAAAAACATTTTTTTTTGTGAGGTATGAACTGAATTTTAAATGTATCGATGTTGTACAATATACTACCAGAGGATAAAATCGAAAATAAATTCACAATATAGAATGCCTACTTAATCAAAGTGAGGTCAGAATTTTATATATGTATTATTTGTACTTTCCTGAATATTATATTACTTTAACAATGTCAAAATTGGCATAAAAACATGAAAATGATTCTTATTTTATTCGATATAATTGCTTATAATTACATAAATTTTTAATTTTTAATATGGTATCAAAAACAAAGTTTAACAGCCTCAAATATGGAAAGTATATGAATGATATATTTAGATTTAATAATCGTTAATCTGGTCGTAAGTTGTGTATTGATCATCTAATAAATATTTTGACTAACAAAGCTTTTATACCAGACAGCATTTATTATGTAACTTCCATAAGTATTTAAATGTAAGATATTTCTGTTTAATGAAACGAAGAGGTGCAGTTAAAAATATATTATATAATTATTTTTCTTTACATGAATTTTTCTATATTTACATATATAGACCGTGGACAGGACAAAACTCACTCAAATGTCACTTTAATAACACTAATTTTAATAACGACTTTTGTATAAATATTTTACAAAAATAGTATAGTATAAATTAAAAGTCCAAACTTAAAGAACAAAGAAATTTTTTTTTAAATAATTTCAAACGGTCAATTAAAAGTCCTCTTCATTAATATTTCATTATGTGAGTATTTGACTTCGTGATTTTTAAATTAATTTATAACAAAATTAAGATCCTTTTAGTATCTTACATAACATATTACAAGTAACTGATTCAATTTCTAACGTAAAATATATTGATTCGAGAACCAATGTAATATATTTTTTAAGATAAAATTAATTTTTTCTTTAGTTGATCTTTTCACATTAAAAGAATCTATCAACTATAAGGAGTAATAATTATTTCACATGATTATCAAGTTCTTCATCAAAATTTATGACAGCTAAGCTATTTTTATATTATTATTATTATTATTATTATTATTATTATTATTATTATTTCTAAGTAATAATAATTAAAATATCCTGAATTAATGGTTTGGTAGAAATAATAAATAATGACTAATTGTAATATTGTAATATGCAAGGTCTAATTTGTAAATTTGTAATACTCTAAAAATTTATGTTAATTGAAATGAAATGTAATTCTTTATATTTATATATATATTTCTGAAAATTATGAGATGCGTTACTTAATTAATCAAAAAATTAACCCAGAATATAGACTACAAAAATAAGGAATATACTCTCTTAAACTAAATTACTTTTTTACAAAGTTCGCAAGTAATTCTAATAAAGTTTATCTATAAAACCATTTATCTATTTTTATTTACCTTGCCGAACAGCGTTTCTCTATGTTCGTATAGGAAAATACGAGGAAAATATTTAAAATTTAGTATTTTTTCATCATTAGAAACTAACTTTTGTGCAACAAGGTGTAAAGTTTATCAATTATTTATATAATTTTAGTTATGGACGGCGCATGTTTGCATCTTTCTCAAAAATGTTTATTTGCAAACTAAGAGACGGATGAGCTTTTTAGTTTTCATTTTCATATAAAAAAATCAAATACATTCATTAATCTGCCGCCGAACGATCGAACGACGAGTCTTAAAAAATATTCCAATATATATATACTCTTTTATAAACAGAAAATCACAATAAAATCACAGACTAATGATAACTGCAGATGTTTTGCTTCCTCTCCATACTATTAGGAATTTTAATTTTACATATGTAAGAAAACTATTAATAAAAAAAACTTAAAAACTATATATATCATAGAATGAATTTGGTAAAAATTACTTATTTCTATTTATAATCTTTGAATACTGTGAATCAAACTTTTGATATTCTTCCTTCGATATATACATACATGTACATATACATATATGTATATATATATATATTTGAATAAACTAACAGGTGATGTTGGGGATATTGATATTAGAGGTATACTTTTCTGAAAAATAAAAACGCGTTATTTTCATTTTAACATTTTATTACAATCTAAGTGTGAGTGGTACTTTGTGATTTTTCATGCACATTCATGAAATTTAATAAGGAAGTAAGTTGCAGTTGCATTATTTTTATATAAGTTGATTCGTTTTCATCGCGACAATAAAGTTCTAGTTTAGTTTACATATTAAAACTTTACTTATTTCGTCGCTCATTCGATTCCGCGTACGTTAGTTTAGGAGTTTTCATTCTTTCGCTGCATTTGCAAGTACCGCCTTTTCAAAATTTATCGTTAATTGAATATACTTTTCGTTACAGGTATAATTACTTTTTTTCAAATAGTTAGAATTATCAATGAAATAGTACCGTTATCCGTCGAAAATCATCGGCGTTGGTTTATTTCTACTTTTATTAATGGCATTAATAAAAAAATGACTGTATCCATTCTGATGTATTTTTATCTGTGACTCCTGAACAGCGATTCTTATATCGAACCTCACATTATACGTGAAATAATATAAAAGCGCCCTTTACACTTTGGAAGAATGCATCGTTCCTTCTCAAGTTTCTATGTAATTATTTAAATCCTAGCAAGTGGTGTTTTTGTTTTATAATTTCTTTTTAATCAATGGCCTTTCGAGTCTTAGGTCTTTGCTCATCGTACTATTTCGTTCGAATCCTAAATACCGCGCTTTCTCTCTTTCTTTTTTTCTCTCTCTTTATTTCTTTCTTTCTTTCTCTTTCTCTCTCTCTCTCTCTCTCTCTCTCTCTCTCTCTCTCTCTCTCTCTCTCTGTCTCTCTTATACAAAATGTTCAAAACTTGAATCAATATTCATACGTTCAATTTTCATCAACACTTATGCATACATATGATACAAAATAAAACATAATTAGACCTAATCTTTGTTCATCGGTGTAAAAACATTGCCGTTGATTTAGTTACTTTTCTTCCTAATAGTTTATACTTTTCGTTGATTTTTAAATGAAATATCAATACCATTCATTCATCACACTGGCTTGCAGGCCCTAGCTATCCTACTTATTAGATTTAACATCCGAAGTAAATTTTCACTTTTCATTTAGGCTGAAAAGATCTGTGTTCGCTTTCGCACAGCTGTTATCTTGCACATTGATGAGCGAAGATTCTTATAAATTTATCATACTTAACATTACATAAAATACGTAATTATAAATCAAACGAATGGAGGGTTTTGATACAGAACTTAAACATTATCATCGGGCAGATACCTACTGATCACTACAACACTGTCAAAACTGCACATTTTATTAATACCTTTTTAACATTATATTTTGAAAAGTCATTTCGAAAGATTATTTTTAAATGGATTTAAAATAATATATATTAATAATTAGTAGGCAAAATCTGATGTACTATAACCGTAAAAGTGAGAGGTAGAAACTAGCTACCCGATAATATCTATCCAATATTGACTTCAGAGTATTAAACTGTTAATATAAAAAGTCTCAATAATAAAAAGGAAAAAATTAATAATATCATTAGAATGTAAATTATTAATTCATTCTATTATGACGACTATAACGCTTATATAGCACTAATAAAAATAAAATGAAAATAAAAGGACTCGACACATATTGCATAAACTTGTCTCGTACAACGTATATTAACAAAAAATAAAGAAATTGTAGTCTCTTTTTTGCGTGGCGGAATATCATCACAGTACAACGGGAAGCAACGCGATAGTACACGATTTATTAATTTTTTATTCATCATTCGTTTAGTGACTTTATAAAAAATTTGAAAAACGCAATGAATTTGAAATCGTTTTGAAATTTGGGATCACCACCCAGCGTGAAAATATTGAATTAAAGTACGTTTGCATCGTTTTCCCGCAGTTGCCGAACTAGTGAATTTTAGAGTATTCACTGTGGGCTCACATCGACTTTCTGTAAAACCATTCGCTGTTGTTAAACTTGTTTTTTTTTTATGTTTCGCTACAACAATCAGTTCACGATTCCTAAAAAATTATAATTGATAAAGGCTAGGAAATACGTAATTACAATAAAAATAATAATATATAATGATAGTGCAATAGAGATGGTTAAAAATTCTAAAACGTCTATGGATAACAAAACGAGAAACGAAATAATTATAGAATCATCACAAATAAATCATTGCTCCGGTCAACCGGCTTTCCTCTTCCTTATTTCATCCTCTACTTAATAATTCCTCGCTGCGCGTACATTCCATTGAATTTAAATGTCAACTAATGTATAATATTGTTTCTGCCGCTCGCACGCACTCATCGTCATCAATTCCATCGCGAGAACAAAGAAATTACAACGACGAACGTCATTTATGGCGTGATTGTTGATGATCGTAGGAAAAACGGAAAACACAAACACGCAAGAGTTAAAGCAAAGCGCACGAACAGGAAGATCATCGATAAGAAGTAAAGAATGGCATGTACTTGATGAACGCCGTATGCAGGCTGGTTGGATTTGGATTGAGAGCGTGGGATGGTATTTGAAAGAAATAGGTGTGAAATAGCGATAGACGGATGAGAGAAGAAGACGGGGGAGGGGGTAGAGAAGAAGAAGAGATAAAAGAAGCCAGCAGCCTACATAGGTGGTCGTTGCGTGTGATCTGCGCTCGCTCGTGGCTCTGCTAAGATGGGCGAGGCCCGCGGCTATCGGTTGTCGCGCGTGAACGACGCACTCGGGCGGATGGGCGTCTTGTCGCTGTTCTTCCGTTGCTCTCTTTGCCTCTGCTGGCGGTGAAGGCGGTACCGGCTACGGAGATGCGGAACTAGTGACAGCCATGAGGGGCGCCGGGGGCAGCGCCACTGGTATGTGATAATATTTACACTGGGGCCGCATGCAGGTGCCCTTGACCGCATCTCTGCACACGGTCACGCGGTTGTCTATCACCTCCACGTTTCCTGCAAGAAGCAGCAGAAAGCAGATATCGTGAGCGCGCGCTCCTCGCCCGGTCGTGCCCGCTCGCACTCACTGCACTCACCGTCATGGAGATGGATGAACTTGCAGGCGGGACGGTTGCACAGTTGCCGATTAAAATCTTGGCACACCGGGAGGGTGTCCAGTAACTGCAAGAAATTCGACAAATGCACAGTATTACATTTTGCTGGTCCGATCAGGGCTGAACTCTCGTCGAGCAATTTCAACGACAGTCCAATAAATAACAGTTCAATCTGCAATTCGTCATTCATCGGATCAACACGCGCACGCACACACGTCGTACAACAGTTTCCGATCTGTTTCTGCTCATTTATGCCCATTCGCTCAACCACGCAACCGCTCTCTCCTCCATTCGCTCTCCGGCAACAATGTTAGAGCATATCCACGCATTTTGAGTCGCATGCTCTAGAAATTCGAACGTACAATGAAAATTCAAAGGTAATTATCGCTAAAGGCATTCGGATACCCAGTAACCAGTCCGATCCTACAGGCTGGCCTGTGCACTTTTCTTACTTGCACTTCGGGCCCACTTGCCTGCAATAATGTTCTGCGAACTAACAGTCACTGGGAATCCGAACGAATTTTATTATTAATGAGATAAAAAATTTGCAGTAGAACGTTTTCAAGTGTTATATGTAAGGGACTCGCAACTTTCCTATCGATAACTTTGTCAAGTGCCTCAAAATAATCATTCTCTTTCTATATGCACTTGACGTCTCGTTTCAACTCGACGTTACTTCTTCTGTACCAAGAAATCTCGTTTGTTCGTTGGTAGCTGAATAAGGACAACTGACTGAATTGCGTTTCAAGAAAAGTTGAAAACGACTGTCGGAAAGAAAACAAACCGAAGAAAGTTATTTGAAAAGAAACGTAAAACAATAGCGATTCGTCGACAGATCAAAGCGTAGCAAACAACCAAAAAAATTTACAATTGTTGCTTTCAAAGGGATTCAAAGGAATGCTCTCCAAGTTTTTATTACACACAGCGACGACAGTTGCAGTAAAGGCGCGAAGTATTCTATATGATTACTTTATCGATACTAAAGTTTTCAAACGACATGACGCCAAATCGACAATACGGACCTGCTACGTGCAAAAAGAGCCTCGGCGATGCTCATCGAAATCTTGGCGATTCGCTCGTTTGAAATTCTTTCAAAATTCGGCGTAATCTCGAAAAGGGAACACAGCCGCGTCGACTAACCCGGCTACGCTGCGTGCTACGAACAAAGCTTTGAATACGACGACGACGACGACGACGACGACGACGACGACGACGCGCTTAACACACAGGCAGACAGCGTTCAGCACGCAATTTTCTCGCGGCGCGAAATGCTTGAGTGATGCTCATTGTGCCGACTCACAATGTCGGGGCTGCATCGCGCGAACGGCTTTCGTTTCATCCGAGCAAAACGAATAAAACAAATCAACATGCGCCTCTGCGCTACCTTTTAACGCAAGCGTCTCCCTCAATTTTCAGATCAATGACTTATTGACGAATTTTAATCAGTACTACTAGATTATGATGTAATGCAAATCTTTGAAAACAAAAGAATAATGATATGCTTGAACTAGCCAATGAAAAGATCTTTAACGATCTGCTTTCTTGAGCACGGAATATAATCTTGCGGTTGTACATATGAAAGCGTTAATGACAATGACACTGGCTTCAACTTGATTTTCGCTGACTTGCTATTTTGCTGCTAACTGCCAATTGATTCTCAGTCAATTGCATGCTCATCGATTCAAAAGTTACATTTACCGGGACCTACAACTCTTCCCGCTTACGGATCTTTTTTATTCACTTGAAGCAAATGGAAATCTCTTTTTTTTTCTCTCATTTAAGAACTTTTTCTTATAACATGTTATGCGTAAGAATACGTATACTTGTCGCATTATTGCACGCGCACGTGCTTCGCTACTTTTCATTCGTTCAAATCGCGCTGCCAAATGAAGCGTTGTCTAAAAAGAATATCGTTTAACAGCTAGCTCGTACATTAATCTTTCGAGCACAGTAGTGCAACTATTGTTGACAATTAAAACGAAGAAGATATACAAGAGTACACGGTTAATGAAATTTCTCGCTCGTTCGTTCAACGACTAGAATGTTGGTTCATCAACGAAATTTATCAAAGCAAATTTGCATCTAGGTAGCATTTTTATTTTCCGAAGAACAAATGATGCATAGCTCGTGCAAAGTACTCCCGATCAAAGATCAAGTGCAGACGAGACGTTTCTTGAAAAATCAAACTCAGTAAGAAGCAATCTTCCGTAAAACGATGAGTAACAAACGCGACAGTTTTCGATCGATGAAAAATGCTCTATACTTTGTTTTATCAGTAAGTGGCCATGCAAAATATTTATCACAGCTGATAGTTTTGTATTTGTGAAAACAATTAATCATTCTAATAGTGAGAATGTACATGCATCATGTATCAAAATTGAATGATAAAATAATAATAACGACGTGAATTCTCGAGATGCTTACGTCGTTTTAGAGACGAAATAAAATTTAAAATGCAAACGACAGCACGAAATGATCGACTTTCAATCTTCATACTGCCACGAAATTATCTGTCGCATTGTATAAGTCCGCAACATGAATGTATAGCAACTTTCACATCGGGAATTCTACTTTGAGAAATTGCGAAATGAAAATAGTTCTCAAGTGTGTATTTAAAATGGGAATGTCTGACACAATTAGGCACGTCTATGCACTGAAAAGTATATCGTTGAGGACGCAAGCAAATGCAGCAAAAAATAAATGTAAACATTGAAAGTCGTACAAAACTTGGAGGAAAATTACGAACACGCGCAAGATTATGTCGCATATGCACTTGTTTATTGTGTTAGCTCAGTGTGTTTTTGGTCATAAAGCATGAAAACAACCTACCAAACATTATTAAAACGGACACAAAATGAAAATATATTCAAGAATATATTCGTTTACTGGCATATAAAGCTAATTATTTGCATAACATTGTTAGAAATTCCATATTTTACCATGAATAGTAGTACAATTATAAGCGTGCTAATTTGATGATAAAAGAAACGTAATTTAGTAGAGATAACACAAGTATAAAGTTAGTTTAATGCTCTGCATAACGTACACGAAATTTAGTTAGGTATAGAACATTCATGTGCAGAATTGAAACGTCGTAGATGAATAGATCATCTTGGCTTGGATGAGCCTGCGTATAATGCCATCGAGGAGACTCGAGTGATTTTGAGTGATTCAGAAGAAAGTCAAACATAAGCCAGGAAAGAGTATTTAATAAGCAAAGTCTCAAGAGATTATAGATAGAAAATCATGAATAAATATATATTTTCTAAGATATCGACATAAATAGCTGAAATAATAATCATAATGTCTAATATAAGAATTGTTCCTCTATCAGTTCCGCAATAGCCTTATGCTACAAAACACTGAATGTCATCATGCAATTAAAATTTCGGATTTTATAATTTGGTGGTGCTTGGGTGACGATATTGCGGTCCATACCACACATACAAACTTGAAACATTCTTAAAAATAATTGGTTAATCATTATTTTCGACAGAAATGGAAATTGAAAGTGAGGTAGAGGCAAGCAATCTCTAAATTTGAAAGAAAAAGAATAAGATGAGAGGTGTTGATTTTTATTGTAAAAAAACTATCACACGTTAAGGACCAATTATAATATAAAACAAGAAATCAGAAGTAATAAAAACGGCGATCGTGCGACTATGACCTTCGAGTGCAAATTGAAAAATCGATTGATTTCATTATTATTAAACTTTCTGCTCAATGCAAGCAAACATCGTGTAAATGCGGGTATTTGCGTACCATTGACTATCCATCGATCCGAGACTTAATCTATATATTTACCGAATGTTAGTGCAGGATAAAAAGCAAAGATATTTACATTTCGATAGAATTAAAATCGCCATCCCGACTTCGATCACCCAAGCATTTCGATGTTGGCGAGGGCCAATGAATGATCGCGTTTGATCGATTCGCTCGAGCGGTCACACGGCCAAACTTAGATAGTGAAGAGAAACAAAAACGCACACACATTCACTCTCTACTAAAAAAAGCTGAATACTTAAAAATGTTCTATGAAAATCAGATACATATTCTTCATAATATATAATGAAAATCAAACGGGACATAGAATAATTGTAGTAACTAAAAAAACCGCAACAGCGAATCGAGCCATAGCGAAGAAGCAACAATAGACGTTCCGATTGATCTATGATGTAATTATCAATTTATCTTAAAGAAAAGAATATACATATGTCAATAATGTAAAGGTACTTAGGGATTTGTAAAGCTATCAAATTAATATATTCTACTGCAAATAAGTTCAACACTAGTTCAACTGCGACTCCGCAACCATAACAATAGCATCAATCAATAAGGCAAGCGTTTATTTAGTTTGCGTGTATCATATATAACTTTTTGGGTTTAATTATACTTAATCCAATCAACAGCAGTGAATGCAATAATACGAGCACATAGAAATTATTATATTGTCATCCACAACCGCTAGTGAAAGTGTATCTGTAACGAGAATAAGAAAAATAAGCCTGCGCATGTTTGCATTACACCAAATGATGTATGTTATCTATATATAATCCATTAATAATTACACGATTCAAGTTAACTTATCAAATGAAAATTGACCGAACAATATTTACTAGTTTTACTCGACAGCTCGGAACTTAATCAAGCGTTCTTTTGAAGCCAGCAAAATTATCGTATATTTCTGAGATTCATTTTAATTATTGAGTAGAATTTATAAATAGTTTGGAAAAAATTCAGTGTGATCCATAAAAAATAATGTTTTTAATAGACAAATAGCTTCGTTTTGCTAATTGAGTGATAAAAAAAGCGTGCTAAATTTATTATCGTGACATGGATTCTCGAGTGTCAATGCCTGAAATAGTACATAAAAGTAATTATAGTAACGATAAGGTTGGCAAAACCCTATATCAATACATTTTGTAATAAATTTAACTAAGAGACAAACACCAGGTAAGGCAGTGGTTATTCGCAGTTATAGTTGCGGTGAGCAGTTGTGAGGGAAGTACCCCCAAAGCTACGTGTTAGCCAAGTTCATCAAAGAGCATAGGAAGATGTTGAATGCTTTAGCACGAATTTGTTATACATAAGCTTTTAATTATTTTAATGACTGAGTCGTCGAAACTGGTGAAAACATATGCTCAACTTCCGCCGAGTTTCTTTGTGAACTTGAAGGTTAGCAGCATTGTGATGTCAGACCTGCACTGTAACGACGCAAAGGAAAAACAAACATACAGTAGTAAAATTTCAAGTATCAACGAGGAATCGTTGCGGCGCACGAATGTATCACCGAATAAAGTGAACAAAAGCAATAGATAAAGCAGTGTACAGAGATATACATTACTTGCAGCAATAAAATTACAGGCAGATCTGAGATCAAGATAAAAACTGGTTACAATAATGAGTCTACCTGTCCGCAGCTGTCTGTGTAGACGACACAGTGAGCGTTTTGAGGGACCACTTGGGCCCCGACAGTGGCTAAGGCTGCTAAGGCGATCCACATGCAGCAAACGAGGCAGTGTTCGAGGTATTTTTTTTTATTTTCATTACCACTCGGTCGAATTCAGTATGGGATGCACCGGAAACCAAAGTCGATAGGCACGAGGAATTAGCGTGCCCTCGAAGCACCCAGGTACATGTCCAAGAAGTTTTTTTGTTTTTCAATTAAGGCGATGCGTCAATACAAGATGCGTTCAAGCGTTTGGTATATCAATAATCGTCGAATATGTCCAAGAAGCCGTCCCTACGTAGAACGGTTAGTTTGTGGCGATTTGCATTTTTTACATAGGTGCATTAATTTTGATTTAATTTTTTTTGTTTTTTTTTTCGTTTTTTTTGTTTTTTTTTGTTTTTTTTTGTTTTTTTTTTGTTTTTTAGCATACAAATAATAATAATGATCAGTATAAATTTATCGACATTATTATTTTTGTTATTGTCGATATATTTGAGTTTAGCCACACATTTTTACACCATGTACCGGGGTGAGTTTATAGATTTTTTGTTTCATTGTATGATTAATATAAATTTTGATTACAAATTTACCATATTGGCATGGTGACAATGCGCCAGTCGTGCATTAATAACCAAGCCAGTAATTTGAAGTAAAAACAATGTTGGTAAATGAATATGCATGAGTTTTCATTTCAATTTTCAGTCAAATAAATGATTGATCAATTAAATTATAACACAATTAAAAAACGTATTCAAATCACGTTAGAAATTGATTTAAAAAAAATAACGAATTAGTGAATTTTAAACAAAATTTATATATAAGTATAATATCATCAAAAATTGATTAACGTCAATAAAATTTAGATAATAAAAATTAATGCAGATAATTTTCAATTGAAGATTTTGAGTACAGTCATTTTGAACATTATTATCATAGCATAATTGTAATAGTCCAGGTTTTATAATTCGTGAATAAAGTAAAGGTTAGGAATATCCGGAAATTACCAGAACCAGGATTTTTGACGATGCAGGATATAGACGGATTCGTGCAAGACAGATAGGATTGACGAAGTTTAGAGCACAAGCATTGCGTTGTTCATTCAAGTTCATTGCATTTTTCATTCAGTTCAAAATCGTGCGATGTCCGGAAGAAGGCAAGCATGAAACAGAAAGTTCATAGAAAAATAATGAAAAGAATGTAAATCATGCAGTGCCATCACTTAGGCCAAACAATAGGGAACATAATTTTTGTTATTAACGATTTTTTAATAAATAATTTATAAGAAAGTCAATTGTGCTATAAAAAAGTATTTTTTATGTTTTATTTTTATCATGTTCCCTATTTACACATATCGTATAGTTTTTATCATTATTATCATTATTATCGTCATTCAAAACAGAAATATCGTACTTTTTAATTTGGCTATTGATATAAATAGTAATGATTTGGTCTATACTAGAGATAAAACTTCTACTTGTCTGGAAGTAATAATAATAATTTGGGCCTTCGTGCAAGATTAATAATTTATATTTGATATAAATAAAATTTAACTACATTTAAATCAATAACTATATTAGTCTTTTTTCGCATTAGAATAAATAAATAGTTTGAAAATTGTGCATTAATAGAAGACTTATAGAGCTAATTCAACGTGTACCATTTATTGAAAAGTGTAACCTTTAAATGTGTATCGTAATCCGACAATGATATTAAGTGTTATTTTTACACATTCACGTTTTAACGGTTCTTGATATTTTGTTCTTAGAATAGCTGTATTGAATACTACTTTTAAACTAGTTTTTGCTAACTAGACAGTTACTTTGTGCTCAGCGAATTAGTGAAAGCGAATGTGTAAACGCAAGTTAAGTGAAACTTTATAATATAAAGTAAATCAAATATTATAAAAATGTGTAGCAAGCAGCGATAAATGGTAAGAGAAGCTTTTGTTCAAAGAAAATATGGAAATGTGTTATGTAACTATGATGTACAAATATTTTTAGATTATGCATTGAGAAACAAAAATTCTTAAATTGTGAATCGATATAACCAATATTAAAAATGATAAATTAATTATAAATAGTGAATGGATACTACGGTGTGAAATAGAACTAACAAGAAGTTAATTAAGTACATAAACTGAGTTATAGTACATTTTTATGATAGTAAATAGAATGATATGAAAGCATTAGAGAGGGAAAGGGTAAGCTACATGAAGAGTTCGGAAATTCACGAATATACTTATAAAAGCCTGGATTCATTGATATATGCAGGTGATAATTAAAATTAATAAAATAGTATCATTAAAGGAATATGTTCAAATTACAGTACGATTAGATGATGATGCATTTGAACTGGACTTGGTCAATGTGTATTTATATTATTACATACGATTAGTCACCATTTTACGTATTCGTAGGCACGAAAGGGTCACACTTACTCTGTTGTCTACGCGCTAAATAGCTTATTCAATGAAAATTTGATATAAATATCAAGTTTTTTTCAATATGCATCGACTATTGAAAGAAAACTAAGATTAAGCACTCGTATGGTATAGTAATTTGTATAGCTTTTGAATTTACATAAATAGAGTGCCTTTCATAATGTAAAAAAAAAAACAGTAAAAAAGAGCTTTTGATCTTCAAATTACGATGAAAGATATTCATACTGTTCTGCTTTTCGGCGCATCGCTTTTTTTCTTTCCTCTTGCCATTTAGTTTGCGTGACTAAAGCACTGGAAGCAATAGGATAGAGCTAGAATGGTACTTGAGCATATATATGTCAGGAATTAAAGGATTGTGTATTGCGAATATACAAGTTAGTCTGACTTGAAATCTGAGCATCTAAAGCAGCTAGTAATTATATATATATATCAATTGAACAATGTAAGCGACCTTGTGCTTGATGAAAAATAAGATAATAAAATATACACTAAAAAATGAACAAGAAAGAGAAAAAAACTGTAAACAAAAAAGAGCAGAAGAAAAAAACATCAACTGGAAACAAAAAAAACGTAGCTAATTAACCACAACCATGAAACGTACAATGGTAGTTTAAAATGAAAGAAGACAAAGAAAACTATTGAACTAAACAAACAAAAATAGTAGAGTAAATTGCGCAAGGTGGAAGACTTAAAAAAGGACAGCACGTTCTACCAAACTTGAAAAAAATATGCTCACGCTGAATAGATGTTTGATTTTCAAAATTTGCAAAAAAATAGAAAACGAAAAATGATATTAACAAGCACTAGGTCGATAGCGTTGACAAGAGTCTAGAATGATTATTAACGGGAAAGCAGGAAACCAGCGGCCAATGGATTATCAGGCCGGGGGCGTATCGAAAGGAAAGGCTGCATGTTGTGTAAAGACGAAATTGTAGGCATCATACTTAATACTGAGTGAACAATTTTCTTTGTGTCTTTTTCTTTTTTTCTGTTGTTGGTGGTTTTCGTATAGCTGATACAACGGGATAATAGAGGATAGGAAGGCTATATATCTCTTTCAATGGAGAAAGATGAAATAAGAAGCATTAATAAAACAAATATTCATGCATTTATCAAGCATTATTATTACAAATACTGGGTGACTCCTTACAAACCCCGCGAGCGTGCATGCGCAAAAACGCATTCGACCTTGAAGAAAATTGCCTCCAGAGTACGCTAATAAATCTACCGTAAAAAAAAACAGATGTAGATAGATAGGTCAAAACCTACAGGTGGCTAATTCTTTATCTATGCCGTTAAAGTACATACATTGCTTTTTACATTATTCTTTAGTGTTGTGATTTCTACGTTCAAACTTTTAGCTTCCCATGTAATTGGTACGTAAATTAAAGGCGTCTTCTTACAACGTAGTGTATAGGTCGGAATGTTATTCGATCAGCGAATGCGCAAAGCTTTGCATTTGCATTCCCGGGGTCGCATGTATAATATATATGTATATAAATGTAGCATATTTTAGATATTTATATATAAATGTCGACATTTTACATATGCCAGGATTGGTGTACGTGTAAATATATCAGATATATAACAATGTACATGAAGAATTTAAAAAAAAGAAGAACGGTACAGTACAGAATAAATACTACTTGTCATATGCATCTATATAAGTGGTTATACTTTAAATCATCTTTTTACTCACTTCTTTTACTTCTTATTACTTGTATAACATATATATATAGCATAATTATTATGTACTAAATTATATGTGTATATTATTTCGTTGCACGAAAGTTTTTTGATGCAACCGGTCAATATTGCGTGTATATAATTTTCATATATATATTAAATATATGCTCTTTCTGTATATAAACGTAAATATAATGTGTAAGCATATCGTTAGTATATTTTTGTTTACTTCGTCATTTTCTTCAGTAGTCGTATACTACTTGCTTACGCTTTAGAACGTGTATGTTCATGTGCAGTGAAGTGTCAAGTGCAAGAAAAGGCACTTTCGTTATGCGTGTGTGACAAATGACTCGATACATACCCAAAACCTCGCAATTTAGCGATCGTTTCGATTCGAATAAATTTTTTCTTTTCTTTTACAAATAAAATTTATAACTTGACTAACGCATTAAAAACAAAATTAGATTTTCTTTCAATATTGCCTTCATCGATAAAATTAATTGTTGATAATAAAATATTTTCATTAATTTTCAATAAAATTCTTCAATTTAAAATTCTCTTCCACAAAACAATATTAATAAAAATTCATTGCCGTTAAAAGATTATTGCAATACTCAAACGATAAAATTCGTAAATTCGTCAACTAAAACTGGTACTCGAAAAAAACCAATTGGCCTAACTTAAGACGAAAGAAGGTTTTGGGTATCCGCTCCGACTGAACGTACTCTTTCATAAAACCACTCAGGAACCGTTTCGATAGTTTTTCTCTATATCTCATGAAAAAAGAAAGTCCTGCTCGGCAGGAAGATTAGGTAATTGTTCCTTCGCAAGGTCGCGCTCCGGCTACCATATATCATTGTACAAGGCCCTTTTTGGTTAATCGCGGAGTCAATATGTGAGGCCGTTCATTCACAGTAGCGACGAAATTTTTTGAATTCTCGCCACCACACCGATCGTTATCAATTATAGTCTTAAATTAACATTTAATTATAACTAGGGCAATTACGATTATACAGGCTACGTACTATCACAATCAAATAGGCTCTTCTGCTTGACCCGGCGTGAAAAGCCATTCTCTTCAGTGAATATTAAGAAAGCTAAATTATAATCAATGTGCTTATAAATATATTTTTGTTCCTATCACGTTTGCTTACTGGAAGACACTGTTGTTCGCATCAGGGTTATCGTACAAGCCTCGCACGAGGCTACCTTTTCTCTTTGATCCTCGTCCTTCACTTTTATCCGTGTTAAAATTGACTGATTGCATTTGGGCAAACCACTTGTCGTTCAACTCAACAGTGTTGTGCGATTTGATTACTTAACAGCTGATGAGAATAGCTTTTCACCCACGACCAAAAGCTCAAAAGACTTCGAGCCAAGGAACAAAGGCGCGAGGAGTACTTTGGATCGGATGATAAAAAGACTTTACTGTATAAGCACAAATACTCTACTAATATATCTTGCGTATTCGCACAACAACTTCAAGATTCCGATTATTTGCACAACACGCGCCACTTGTTCCCTAGGTGGCAATATACCGGAGCTTCCACCGTCGTACAGCCAAGCTACTTCATTGTACAATGCACTGCGATTCTTTCCCGTACACTTTGTCACCCGTTTCTTAACGTTTCTTAATTTACAATTTGTCGAAATCGCCTTATCAAAACTCGCTTTACGATCAAATTTTACTCGATTCAATACACGTTTACTTCAAGAAAACTCACATCACTGGCAAGTACGTTTAGTTATATAAATAAATTTAGTAGTAGTCTATTCCTTTCCATGATTTTATCTTTAATATTATTATCGATATTGTAGCTTTCATTTTTATTAGCAATAATAGTTTAATATAGTTGCGATTTTAGTAGCCGTATTAAATTATACATATATATATATATATATATATATATATATATATATATATATATATATATATATATATATATGCGCATTTACGAACAATGACAACACCGAGTTCTTTTTAACAGTTTGATTGTTCGTCAGATATCATACCGGTCATTTTTTTAAAATCCGAGGCCATTCGTGAGTCAAGTTCTTAAGAAACATCACAATTATGATTGTAGAATGTGCGACCAATCAATTGTTTATATATAAATTTATTTCGGACACGTTGGGTCAACCAAACTCTCACGATTTGAATCACCATTTTACATGAACAGGCGTATAACCGCGACGTATATCTATGAGTTATACGGAATTGTTGAGATAACAAAATAACTGAAGGTCAACTAGAATTAAAAGAAAACTAAACGATGGAAAGCTCAAGTTTGCGCGATAATTTGATTTACACGCACGAGGCAAGTTATAACTAGGAAACAGTAGATCGACGGAACTTTATTTCATTAAATTTAACGACTTGGAACTAAAATGACTTGAAAATATTATTGAAACGAATAATAATCAAACTTAAACTCAAAATATAACACAAAAAATATAAATATAAATCGTGAAATAAATCACAAAGACCTTAAGGAAACTTCATCATGCAAGAAAACTGATTCTCAGCGGACAGTAAGAGGAACACTGGAAGAGAAGTATATTAAAAATAGAAAAATAGTACTCAATATTTGTATAGTATAAAACCTAGGAAATGAAAAAAAATTGTCTTCGAGTAACACACAGTTTTCAAGAAAGTAGTATTAACATGCTGTTGCTAATATGACTAATAAAAAACAACCACCCTAATGTCATCATAAAAACTCTTATAAGATATAAAACTGACTTAATTGCAAAGAAGAAAACTTAAGAAATACACATACTAGTTCTAAAAAAACAAACAATCTAAAAATAAAACCTTAATCTATAAAAACAATTTAAATTGCGCACTCGATGCTAACCAATCAACAGTGCAATTGCGTTAATCGTTATTGTATAATTATCAAAAGTAAAACACTTCAAAACACTATCTTCCAGGAGTTCCTTGCCCAGTCTGAAATCGATAGGAGAATTACAGCAAAAAAAAAACGAGAGAAAAAAGAAAAGAAATATATGTAGAGACGACCCTAAAAACTCACACGTGCAACATGCCCGAGAAATAGGGCGGGGAGGAGGGGGTGGGGGGTAGGGGCGATCGGAGCGGCCACGATTAATCGAGTGCCGTCGAACGAATTGTTGCGATTAACCGTTGAACGTCGTTGAGCTAAAGAAGCGGTCAAACGGAACTTTGAGATCCCGGCGTGTGCGTAGTATCGAGATACAGGCCGGTGTTTTTCGTCGTAGTAAGGCACTGTTCAGCGACGATTCTGACTAGAAAACGAAAGTTGTCATCGTACTGGAACTGTTCTGCGAGTCTCGCGGACCGGGACGTCCGAACGAGGGATGCGCGCGTGTGTCAATGGCGCTTAGGTGGTCTTCATCTTCTTGTAGGGCTGCATGATAACGCCGCTGGACGCGGCGGCCGCAGCCGCGTGGGCAGCCGCGGCCGCGGCGGCGGCGGCACCGGCACCGCCGGACAACGCGACCTGGGGCTGCGCGGCCATGGTCGCGGCCGTAGCCGGACCCTGGCCGGAGGCCGCGCCCATCTGCGGCACGGCGCTGGCGACCGCGGGCATACCGGGGATCACGGCGTAGGGGCTCTGAACGGCGTAGGGCGAGGGCTGCACCGAGTAGGGACTGCCCGGCAGCACGGGCTGCCTTACCAGCGAGTACGGGTTGAGCGGGCTCGCCGTGGCGTGCGGCGGCCGGTAGGTCAAGAGGCCGGCGGGCAGGGAGGCGGCTGCACCCGGATGGTGGAGGGCTCCGAGGCCATGGATCATGGACGGGCGGGGGGCCGGGGCCGACTGCTGGCCTAGCTGGGCCGCGAGCGCCTGCTTGTTCAAGGCCACGCCCGTGTAGTTGAGAGCGTTGAGGGTCCCGATGCCGTAGGAGGCTGCAGCGGCTGCGGCCTGTTGGGAAGCCGCGGCTTGCTTGATCGCCTTGGCGTAATTCTTCTGGGCGACCTCCTTGGCGAGAGCCGCCGGGTCGAGAGAGAAACTGGAGGGCACACCGAGGCTGCTGAGAACGTTGAAGTTGGCCATGTTGGCCGCGGAGTAGTTGAGACTAGGGACCGAGTTGATACCGGCTGCCGAGGCCATAGAATTGACGCTGACGAGGGTCGGAATGGTGTTGAGGCCGGCCATCGAGGTGATGGCGTTGACGGACGCGTTGTGGGCCGCGGCGGCGCTCAGGGCCTGCTGGATATGCTGGTTGATCTGGTGCTGGTGCTGGTGCTTCTGCTGCTGCTGTTGCTGGTGGTGGTGGTGGTGCTGCTGCTGTTGTTGTTGTTGTTGCTGCTGCTGCTGCTGCTGCTGCTGCTGCTGCTGCTGCTGCTGCTGCTGCTGCTGTTGCTGTTGCTGTTGCTGCTGCTGGGTTTGCTGTTGTTGCTGGTGCTGGGGCGAGCTCGAGTGATTCAGGTCATGAGAGTTTTGGTTGGAGCTTGCAACAGCGGTGGCAGCTGCGGAGGACTCGGATTCGTGGTTCGCGCCGTTCGAGGTCTGTTTGTCATTGTTCGCACTCGACGGCGGCGGCGGCGGATTGTTTGGATCAACGAGGATCCCATTGGCGGCAGCGGCGGCGGCCTGGGCCGCCTCGACCGCATTGGCCTGACTCTGAATCGAGTTTTGCACGACGCCGACTGACTGACTCGAATTTTGGGCGGGTAAGGGTGGAGTTCCACTGTACTCACATGACACAGGCACGAAGGGCTGCTGGAGTTGCATGAGCTGCTGATAGGTCGTCGCGCTGGTCGGTTGGTAGACCGGCACGCCGGACTTGTCGCCCGCTGGACGCTTGTACGGAACCATTCCTGGGAAGGCCTGTAACGACACACGGCATGACGCCAAACTATTAGATCTGATTCCTCGCAATCTCTTTATAGAGCGCACTTTCATCGTCATCGTTCTCTCAACATATATTTCCTCTCTAATTCTCCGTTGCGATGTAGTCCCTGGCGCACGGGAATGCTAATGCGAAAAAACGATCGAGAGAGCATTATAACCTCGCGGCCGAGAGCTTTTCGCTCGCCATTCCTTCTTTTCAACATTGCACTGTGCAACCGATCTTGTTGTCACTTGGTTGGCGCAATAGCGAGTGTTGAAAATAAGGAGAGCTCTCGGCGGCTCAAAACATTTTTGTGAAATGGCAGGATGTATGATTCTATGTTTTGTTTCTGCACTTACAAAGTTCTCGTAGTAGAGCGATCCGACAGACTTCATGTCCATCTGCAACAGAGATAGGATCGGTTTCAACTCATGTAAAGGACTGGATTTCATTGTTATTGATTGTCATGTGTGAGGATTCGAAGGAATGGGGCTATCGTAATACGTGATCACCAAGTTGAAGGGGCTTAGGATTAAACATGGTGTTATACATAAGTTGTGCCGATGACGCAGCTTGCAGCGACGTTGCCAAGCGACGAGGCATCCTTCTTAAATAAACTGCAAGGTTTTTTTCTCTTTCTGTGTGTGCAATCCCACAGATATATAAAACACGCTATAAAATATCTTTTAATAATAAAAACTAGTGGGAATTTGCTTGCACAGTACTCTTTACTTCTGAAAAATGCGAGCTTTTACGTGAGCTGCAAAGACCGCGAGACACTTATCTTCTTCCTTTTTTATTCTCATAATGATTGAAGGCGAAACACGGCCGATCGACGCCTTCGCGAATACTGCTCTTTACGTGAGCAACAGACGCTGTGTGTTCTATATGGTGTTTTACTTGAACGGGCTCTCGAAAAATTGCAACTAACGCGCTGAAAGTAATGGAAATCATCAAGAGACCAGCGTTAAAAAAAGGAAAATAAACAAATAAACAGATATCAAGTGAAAAAAGTACTTGAAGAATTACTGAAAAAAAGATAGAGAGCGAGACAAGAGTGCAGCAAATTTAATTTTACTAGATTGCGAGAAAACGATGACAAAAGCAAAAATTAAATAAATGTCAGACGAAAGATGGTCATTTGTTAAAGCTGCGACGAGATGCAGAAGCTCAAAAGCTGGCTTTTGTCTGGACACGTCCGCATCGAAATGTAATTCCGGTATAAGCTTCAAATAAACGGATTGCATTTGATTCCAATTATTACCGAATCTCTATTAAGTGCAGTCAAAGTAGTAGTGTAAACTAACTGATAATTTTTAATAAAGGAAATATTACGGTGTGTACAGTGACAATACGAGGTTGGGACAGCTTTAATCATTATTGCAAGAATTTTCTGAGATATCAAAGGCTGTCCTGACCTTTCGATTGAGAACTGATAAATAAAGAAAAATTGATGATAACAAGACGGAAATAAAGTGATCGACAAATGTTCGCAGCAATGAAGTATAGCGAGTGTGTGTAAGCGATCTACAGTGCTGACGGCTGACACGTTTTGTCACTGAATGACGGCTATATTGCAGAGAAGACTTAATTAAATATGGATTAATGTCGCTGATCTTCTAAGTAAAACACTCGATCATATATGGTCTAGAGTGTTTATGAGGAGATGACATTTCTTTTTACCATCACCTCGGGGTCGCATAAGCACAACATGCATCATCGGCGCAAGCTTTTAATTACAAGACTTCGACGGCCGTAATCTTTACATCTCGTGACACGATAAGAGGCATCGAACCAATCAATTCGATTATGACCGTCGAACTTGAGGGGGCATTAATGCTACACTCGTATTATTCTGCTTTAATTGAACATTAAGGATGTAGGTAAGTAATAAATGATTCATTTAGTTGCGGAGTGACTGTCGGATTTCTTAATACGAGTGTACAATCATTGAGCCGCAACATAGCGGCGAAAATTTTGCCGAAGGACATGGGGATGATGTGTGAATAGAACCACGTGGAAAGTGCAATGTCTCTATGTATCTATTAGTAAGTGCTGTCATATGATAATAAACGGCTTTCAAAAGATGGATTATTCCATGTGATTAGTATATCACGGTCATGTCAGGGAAATAAAATGAAGAAACATAACTAAGCGATCTATAAATACAATACGAGGCGTAAGCTCCGGTAGAAACAACATTGCAACGTTTTAACAAAAACAAGCAGAATAGTATAATCATAAAGCAATTACTTAACGATAACTTGCTTTCAAAGGTTTTTATCTTGTTCTTTTTCGTTGCGAACCACCGCTGGTGGTGTACTACGCGTGGAGATGCCAAATGCGATTGGCATATGCAAAGGAACGGTCGAAAAAGGAAAGAAAGTGATTAAAAGTGAAGGACAAAATAATAGATACGTTTGATTTACGGCCCGTAGCGTTTGCGGAGAAACGAGGAAAGAAGAAAATGATCGACGAGACAAGTTTTATTCTAGAGCTCAAAGCGCACTCGGCAGTGTATTCACAATCGCAGTAACTATTATAAAAAATAAACAAAAGTAGTTGTCTATCTACCGAGACATCTCGAAGCGGGCCGTTGAGTTGTTCGCGAAAAATCGAGTGAGATTAAGAGAGACGATCAAGCTAAGGCCTGTCGAGATGTCTTGTCAAGAGAATCAAAAACAAATGAAAAGTGTAAACATGCAAAAGCAGTGGTACCATTAGCAGATCATCATTGGAGTCGCGCATCCGCTTCTTGCCGAGCTCGATGCTTGCCATATTGGCATTCTGGAGTCCTCCGGGTACGCTGTTGGCCGAGACTGCGCCAGCGCCTATCGGCATCGTCGCCGTCTGCATGAGCATTTTTCGAGAGTATCGTTCGTGTACCGTCAGTGACAGAGAGACAGTGACAGACAGATAGCGTTTATGCGACCGTCCGACAGACAGAGCGGTTACATGACAGTGTTTCACCCCGTTCGTGATAAGTTTTTTTCAGTGTTCAGCGTTCGGCGTAGGCGTTAATTTGGCAGGTAGCGAAGCGCACGGAGATATTTGTTCAGCAAGCATGAAGCATCGCCAGGCGACAGGGCAAGAAGAAAATCAAAAAAAAAGAAAATAAGACAAGTTGAGACTACTGTATATTTAAAATTATGTTTATATTTTTTAATATATATATATACATATATATATATATATATGTATAAATTATTTTCATCGATACATTTATACGCTAATTGTCTTGATCGAGTAGCTATGGTCTAAGACATCGGGACTTTTATAGACAATCATTAAAAAAGTATAAATAAAATGAGCACACATACTTCGTTACAGCTAGTAGCAGAAATTATTAACTGAATGCTATGTCTATCCTAGACAAAGAAGTATGCGTGATACGCTATATATGTATAAATATGTAAGAGCTTTCTGACGCGTGCGTCGATCTTCCGTGAAAGAAAGCATCTCCGGCTGTGCATCTAATTACATCACACTTCAATATATATGGATCTAAATATACTAAAGTGCATCAAATCAAGTGCGTATATATGCATATTGATACTTTACTTATCAATAAGGATTGAACAAAAAGGAAAGAAAATATTCCCGCGGTCGTGTCGCAAGCTGCAATAAAAAGTATACGTCAATATATTACAGGCAATGCTGCGGAACAACAATTAACGTTTAGCGAGAATGTACAGCTTCCTATGCGCACTAGACTTGGCTTGTTGATTGTCAAACCACTCTTGTCGTTGGCTTCATAGCTCACGGCTGCTCACAAGTCTGATATACTTAAAATATCACTTTCCTGGATAACGGAAATATTATAATAACAACAAAAATTATGAGTTTTACACAGTATTCGGTGAAAAAGCATAGCAAACGAAAACATTGAATACAAGATAAAATTGTAGAGAGAGAGAGAGACAGAGACAGATAGAGAGAGAGAGAGAGAGAGAGAGAGAGAGAGAGAGACAGAGAGACAGAGAGAGAGAGAGAGAGAGAGAGAGAGAGAGAGAGAGAGAGAGAGAGAGAGGTTCGGTAGATTCTTGACTTCTGCTGACATCGGTAAGTGGCAGCTGACACGGGCATATTCTCGTTCCACCGCCCCCGGCGACTTTCTTGGCTTGGAAACCTACAAATTGCTCTCGGTGAAATTAAAGTCTTATGTACACGTTGATGATAAGAAGGCCAAGCGCACATTATGCCTCTTGATCTCTAGTTTCCTAACTATCAAACTTGAAGATGGGGCTTGGTTAGAGAGCAAAGTGTACAGCGTCGTATGTTAATATGCTCGAAGACAGCCTCTAGTTTAGAATAACAATTGCATGAATGAGATTAAGTTACTCTCGTCACTTATCATTGTAAATTCAAGCAAGTTGAGAAAAATATAAAATAACATGAGTTAAATGTCTAGCTGTCTTCGATATGTTCAAGGCTCACATACGGGCCTTTATTTACAAATCCACATTTATTTATTTACAAAAATTATATTTTTCGAATTATTGTAATGTGTTGTTTGAGTAATTTAAGACATGTTTCATGTAATGATCATATATTGTAGTGATTGCCATTTTGCGTGTAAGAGTGTTTCAATGTACTTTTCAGAAAGTTACGTTTCCATCCAAAATTATATATAATTATTGCATACATGTACTTCTTATGTTCATACAAATACGCGTATAAAAAGTGTCTATTTTCTCCAATCCTATTCCGAACGTGTAAAACGTGTACAAAAATTTGATGAACATTTATAAGTAGCGTTACAATCCCAAAAAAGAGCTTGTTCAACTATTAAATTATATTTAAATAAATATACAGTTTCAAAAGTATATCATTTGACCAGATAGTTGGATTTGTAATCGAATATTATTAGTTTAGTTTTATAATTTCTTATTATTTTACATTCCCAACTTGATTTTTAAATAAAAATGCAAGAATAGATAAAAGAGAGATGAACTTGAAGAGACGCGGTGCGCCCCTTTTGGAATTGAAAAGCACTTTTAGAAAATGAAACTTTCCTGCCAACAAGCTGGTCTGCTGTAATCCATGAACGTTTTCTTCCCGTGTGCTCGATGTGGCGTGGTCTTCCGACGGCGAAGTTGCTGAAAGGGTCTGTATTCTTTCTTTTTTTTTTTAATTTACTTATATCCGGCTTATATAGTTGTCGATCCGAGAGTGATGAGTCGTGTCAGTCTAGTAATCTGTTCTTTTTTTCATTTTGATTGATGAGTGAGTCAAATTTGTTTGGTGGCAATTTATCAAATGTTTTCACGATCCTGTTTTGTTTTACAGATGTGATTCAAGTGCATTGGTGAATCCTTTGTCGAGTGCTCCGACGTTGAAAAACTTTCGCAAATATTCATCGTCGAATACAATTGAAAAATAACAGAACTCAATACGGACAGCCGAATTATGTAATCTTTAATAAAACAGCAACTTTGACAAAACTAATACAAAGATGTGCAAAGTAAAATAATTGTAAAAAGAGTTGAATAATGCGACATCGCTGATCCTGATAATTAATGAAAAGTAACACGTTGTAATAAAAAGTATAATTAACCGAGTGCATAACACCTACAAATGAGTTACGTATAAGGTTATAAGCCGATTAGAAATTAGATATTGTTTGAATGTGATTGTTTAGCCTACAACACCCATTATCCTAATAAATTAGTTATGTTACTTCAATTATATAGTTTGATTTTTATAGTTGTTCCATGATTAAGACTCGAGTGTAGCGCTTTGTGTAGGGCAGCAAACAGCAGCAGGGTTGATATAGCCGGGGTTCGTGCAGCACAGCTTGTCAGCAGGTTTGTGTATTGTGTATTCGTATGAGACGAGTGTTCTCACTACTATACTTTTATTTACAATCTCGCTCCATTCGCTTCTATGCTCGCTTCGCGACAATGTTCTTTGCCTCCATTTTTTAAAGGTTAAATGACCATTGAATTAAACGATAAGTGGTCGAGGTTTTGAAGAGAAGATAAAAGAGGAAAAGTAGAATGGAGCGAGAGTACGAAAAAGTCGCAAATTTTTACAACATTATTCATACAGTTCTAGGTATAAACCCGGGATCTGGTGATTGGTGTATATTGCGTCTATAGGTATATTTGCACCTGGATAGCTGCGATAGGCTGCTAGAAAGAGAGAAATAGAACAGTGGTGACGGTGACGATAAAAAAGATTACTGGCTTTCGTACTACTCACTACAAACATTACAATCACGACTATGTACGTCAAACAGGATTATAGATGGACGAACACAAAAGCAACAAACTCCGATAAAGGTGGGTTATAGAGACAGAGATAGATAGATAGATAGATAGATAGATAGATAGATAGATAGATAGATAGATAGATAGATAGATAGAAAGAAAGATAGATAGATAGATAGATAGTTAGAGAGAGAGAGGGGGGAGGGGGTAAGAGAGAAATCTTGGGAACAGGGTAATTAACTGAAAAAAGTGGTGGAATAACACGATTATAGTTGGATAATCAGAAAATGAACAATCGATCGAAAGTAGCCATATCAGTGAGCGTAGTATCAGAATATCTGACGGAGAATAAAAAAATTTCACTGGATATAACTACCTTCGATGTACTACTGCGCAACGTTCAGCCAATATTTTTCATGATTACTTCCAGAGTACTTTTTAAATGGTAGCCTGTATTTATGCATCGCAGGAAGACTGAAGCCCGAACAACGGAGAGACTCTGCTGCGATGAGATACGTAACAAACAAAAGAGTGTCCCGGGTAGGAATTGGCGGAAAGCAGCGCAGCAGCATAAGCTTCATTGAAGCAAAACCCAGAAAAACTCAATATTAAAGAAAAATATGAAGTTTAGCTAGAAAGTTGTAAAACGCAATAGGAGACACGGACTCTGGCCAGTTTGCATTCTCTTGGTACATTGGACTATAGAATACACATAATTATTATCATGAGACATTAAATTTACTTATTTAGATAAATGAAACATTTAGTTCAGTAATTATGAAATAGACTTGTAACTAACAGAGTTGGAACTTGATCCTTAAATAGCATTAACAGGTAACTAATTCATTGAAAAAATGTCAATGATGATTTACGTAATGCCAGAGGTGAAGGAGAAGGAAAGCAGGTCAAAAAGAAAAGAGAAATAAGAAGGTATGGCAGAATGCGATAAGAAAAAAATGATGCATGTGAGAGAGAGAGAGAGAGAAAGAGATAATTAAAGAGGGTAAGAGAGAAAGAGAGAGAGAGAGAGAGAGAGAGAGAGAGAAAGAGACAGACAGAATGCATTACCGCAATGCTAGCCCGAGTTTGTGTGGCCTTAATGTGGGCTTGAAGGTGCAGAGGGGGGTGGAAATAGCGGCAGGGGTCTCGATTGCATCGGCCCTTGACAGCGTCCATGCAGACCGTCACAGAGCCGTCCTCGTTCGCCTGCACCGTCTCGAGGGGGTGCGCAAACCGGCACTCCGTCTCGCCGCGTTTGCACGCCCCGCGTTGAAACTCGCGACATACCTACAGCAAGAGCGAACACGCATGGCATGGGCACTAGATCTATGGGATATTTAGCACTTTCTTTCTTACTTTCATTCCGTTTATTCTTTAACTTATTCTTTTTTCTTTTAATCTTTTTGCCGGAAACAAAACTAAGAAGGATATTTATTCTACGTTATTTACTGTTACTTCTCATCAAGTATACGCTGCTGCGATACACTGCCTCAAGAAAAATAGCTTGCTTGTTCAACAATGCCATTGTCCACATCCACAGATTTCATCTAATCAATCCTTCGTCCTAAAACTGTCAATCTGACGTTGAGACATCCAACTATTTTTCTTGCTGCAGACCCAATGAATACTTCCGTAACAGAATGTATCAATGTTACAGAATTCGAATGAACGTAATGGTGATAGAAATAAAGGTATCCTACTGAAGACAACGACATGACGAGCACCACGATATATTGTCACACGGTATACAAGCATATGCACGAGACAACATTGCTTTCCGTAATAAGTCCAGTTTTCAGTATATCACATCGCTGACCATTCAATATCCAGGCAAAACAAGCGATTCGCGAATATGTAAACCTCGTGGCAGCACGTCAATGTCGGCTATATAATATATATCTAGAGCGAGTGTATTAGCGGCCATATCTTGCGCCACAACATTGGCGCCAAGTGAACAGGCAAGTCTACACAGTATTCGACAATGTTCTCAAAGTTTATACATATCAGGGGTGAGGAGATGGGTTCTGCGCGATACTGTAGGAGAGATCGATCAACTCGCTTTACACAGTGTCGGATAACATTGAAAATCCATTAATTCGCAAATATTGTGCACGTACTTGCTCTAAATGACAGAAAATTGATTTAAAATAATAATACTGAAGAAGAATTCGATCTCTCCCCAGTAGCCGCAAAGAATCGCAAAGTCAATTAGCTGGATAACAAGGATTGCAGGAAATTATATTGATAGATTCATAGATAGATAGAGCTAACGGCCAGCCACTAGCCTACCAAAAAGTTTGCAGATTTATACCAGCAGGTATGTTGTTTTAGGTACTTTAGTTTGTGTTAGTAATAGCATATTACGGGGTTAGAAATAGACAGAGGTATGAAGTGAGAAGTAGAATTATAAAAAGCAAAAGACGAGGCATTCGTTCCTTTTCATTTTTTAGTTTTCCAGGAACTTTTCACGTTTATTTATTTATGTACACACAACTCTATCAAGTAGGCGATTTTTAGGTTAATTTTCACTCTTTCACGCTTTTTCTCGAGCTAGGCCAAGTACGCAAACACATTTATAATGCAAATACTTAAAAGCTTTATATTGACGTTTTCTTAGAGGATTACGTAACGTAGCGTTTTTGTACGATAAGGCATCGGTTAGTTGTAGCGAAAGTTAGAACACACAAAATTTAATATGTTCGAATATTGCACAGACGTACACAGGCGGAATCGATAAGATTTATGAAAACTAAAAATTACAAACATGAAACGCTTGTGAACTATGAAGTAGCTTTTCAGTTGCTTACGAAGCAATTCATGTATATTCAAAACAATGATAAGCCAGTATGTTTCAATCTCACAAATTTTTTATATCAATATATTCATATAATATTTTGACAAAAACAAATTTATTCTTCATACATAATGACCATTAATTGAGATTTCTTCGGAACTCCCAGTCAAAATAATTTAAGAACTGAATCATAGTAACAAAAAAAAAATTACTTTTAGTATAACAGAAAATAAAAAGAAAACTTTTAATGACATAATATTAAGAAATACTAGTCCACATTTGAAAGGAAATTTTTAGGAAAGTTGGAGTTTATTTGCATAAAGTTAGCACGTGTGAATAATAATGCAGCATGCAAGTTTGTTTTCCTTTCCCACCCTATTAAGTTTTTAGAAGATTTTGAAAATTGTGATAATGTGGTTACTCCTCGAATGTTTGAACTTATTATAATTCATATATTTATTTTTTAGTATAATTCTAACTGATGTTTTATCTTTCTCTGTTTTATTTGAAAAAGTGTACGACATTTTTTTGTTTTATTTTTGCGTGTGTGCGTGTATTTTCGAGATGGTAACAGCTTTGTGTTTTTATTTGTAGTATTTTATTGATTGTAGTGCGCAGATTGTTTTTGTCATTGTATTGTCCTGAGATTCAAATTTTAAAGAGTATTTTATAAAAAATTTTCTGTTATAAATTTCGTATAACATAAAAAATTATAAAAAGCTGTAACTAAAAAAAATTAACTCTAAATGGTGAACGTCGCTACATATTCTATTATTTTGTATACAACATCAATCAGACACAGAAGAAATTTTGAGAGTATAAAGGGATTTTGATGAAAAAGTAGAAGGAAATAGTCTTTTGATAGCTTTAAACGATTTCTTTGTTTTGAGTGCTCTCAAAATGTCTTAATATACATTTGAACAGATGCTAAATAGACGATCTATTTCTAACTTACCAACCACAATTACAAGTACATTATGATAATTTAAAGAATGTAAGTGTATATTTGGATTATCAGTGTTGTTCGTTGTGTCAAGTACTGTTAATAGAATTCCATACAAATGTAAATATAGTAAGTAAAATATCATATATGTGAGTATAAGTGGACAGAATTCTTGTGCGAGCGATTTGAACAAATGAAAAAATCAGTTAATTTATAAATTGCATTTCTAACTTTTGTAAAGTTTTTTTGAAAATTTAAACACAATATGCATTAATTTCATTGTACCATAATAAATTTATAGTCGCATTTAATCCAACGAGGCAAATCTACATTAATAGAAACATATTAAACGGTCGATCACACAAGTTGTCATTGACGCTTTTAGTATGCATGTAAGTGTATTAATATTCATACAATAATTACGAAAAATAAGAAATTTAAGAATACATATAAAATTTCACATGCGCTTGCTCAAAGCCCCACCTCCTATTGCTGTAAAATAATCACAATATCACTTATAAAAAAAATTAATTAAATTAGTGAGTAAGTACATGTACTAATTAAAATCATAAAAACACTGCAGCTTTTGTACGAAAAGATAGTATATTCAGAGTCAAGTAAGTGTAAAGATGTATCATAATTACTTGCAATACGAGTTCAGAAAAAGTCATTACCGCAATGTCGTTATTCAAGCAGGTTATTATACTACATTTTCGTACGTTATTTGGAAGCCTATATAGCTGAAAATTAATATAACAATTATTAGCATCACTGTATAATTATCTCTACGTTCGCAAAACTCAAAAATGGCATATAATCTCAGCCTCACTTCAGAAACTGACTCAGTAAACGCAAAAATATTAAGTGAAATTTTGTTGTGTTATTTGATTGTTATTATTAGGAGTGGCGAAAAAGAAATTTGAAGAATGGAGGAAAGGAACAGTGAATTTTAAGGAAGATTTTTGCGAACGAATAAATTTCTTTCTTTTTTATGTTTTAATCTGAATAAAAAGCTATCATAATCTTTGAATAGTTACTTTTGAACCAATTAGATTTTTATCGACACACAGAAAGGTTAAGCAAATAAGAGAAAATAAGTTTTAAATAAACGGTACTACTTAGCATTACACTACTTTCATTCTCTAAAACGTTTACGACGTCAAACGTTTTAATTGACTTTTAATGTTCGATTGATTTAGATTAATATATAAGTTTTGGCACTTTTAGTTGTGACAACATTATTTAAAATTAGCACATTTTTAAAAGTGTGTGCACAATTCATCAATCGAACGACAAATTAAAAGTCATGAAAATCATTGCACCAAACCGATAATGTTTTAATGAATTTTTACAATTTAATTGTAACTCAATTGACAAACAGGCAGCAAGCACTTGAAATTGGTAACTCTCTGACAATCGTGTTCTGAGAGATTTGTATGCTAGTAATAAGGATCAGGATTTAGGACAAGCAATTATTCAAAGGAATAACCAAATTGACCTAAACACTCGCAGAAAGAAACTAAATAATCAATCTTTAAAAATAATATAAGAAAGCGAAATTTATAATAGAATATTAAAAATATATATTATTGCAGTTTGAACTGAAAACAAATTACGTAGGTATGATTTTAAAAAATTTATTATAGCTTGCAGAGTTGCCGAATCAATCTTTTTATACTTTATTTTATGGAAGGAATAGAAGGCTGGCAAATTATTTTTTATCTTCATATGTACAAGCAAAATAAAGAAATACTTAAAAAAAATTATGTTGAGTAATAAATTTGAGTAATAAATATTGAGCAATAAAATAAGCAATTCTTGTAGCGAAAATTGATGTGATAACAATGAAAACAGTAGAGCTTTTTTAAATTTGATTTATATTCGTTTTATTTGAATTCCATCATCAAAATGTATCGCATGACCCGGTCGTAATGCAAGTCATTGCTATTACATAATCACAAATAGTGTTTATTATTACGATTATTTATTAATGATCCTCATTGATATTCGTAGGTATCCATTATTCTTGATATAGTGTAATCAGTAGTTATTATCATTAAAATCATTCGAAAACGTGGCAAACGATCGACTCGTTGATCGGTCGTTTTCAATCTTATTATAATAATATATTATTAATTTATTAGATGCGTCAATTTCATTTTGCTTGCTTGCGATACGTCTCTGTAACCATCTTTCTTCTGTATGTTCAGTTGACAGTATCATATCACATTATGCGCATATCAATTCTCCTTTTTTTTCGTTTATTCTCTTAACCTCCTTATAAATATTTTCATTTCTTTATACTTTGTATATAATATTGAAGGAATATAAATTTACGATAAATAGTAGATTCCGACTTTCAAAAGTTGCCATGAAAAAGTTCCAGAGTAGGGAAATGGGATGAGGAAATGGAACACGCATGGAAAATAAGTAAGAAAATGTTTTTGTTTTGTTTTTCTTCAATCCATTTTCATGAGACAAAAGAAAAATAGAAATTATCAAAACAAAGATAAAGGAGGTGTGATTGCGAACGTTAGATGTTGTGTATCGGTATCAATTTTCAAAATTTCGATTTGCAATTGCATTCTTTTTAGTCGCCCAAATAAAAAAAAATATAAATACTTTTCCGGATCAAAGTTCATTCGCGCATAATTATTTCCTTTGGTGAAAAGTTATCTAGCAAAATTCATGATAAAATGACAATGCCTGTTTGAAATTTGAATGTTGCTACCGATAATATTTCATTGCCAATATAAAATATAAACAATCAATTTGTTTAACCTATCTACTATTTATACATATGTCCGTACGTGCGTATGCTTATAAAGACAAGATGACGCACTAATGACGACACTAATGTTTCGAGTAATTCTATATTTAATAAAAGTTACAATATTCATTGAATCAAAGTTTTGCAATCATCGCGCAACAAATAAAAATCACTCGAAATATATAAATGTAACAATAAATATAATATATTAGTGATTTGTATGAATATATAATATATAAATGCGTAATGAACAACACAATGAATTGAATCGAAAGTTTAATCACAACAATAATAAGAATAATAACAATTAGAATAATCATTCCTCGACTAATGATGAAAATGATGATATAATAAAGGCGATTCAAATATCATTGGAGATAATTGTAACTACGGTTAAAATTTGCACTGAAACACCAAAAAAATATCCATTTGAGCTTCATACTCAATAGATTGCGTTTCGTTTGATTCATTGAATGTAATGCTCGCGCAATTTTAAATATAAACCATTTGTTTCTCGATTTTTCATTATAGTTGTGATTTTTAAAAATCTATACCTAACGTTTTGAACATCTGTTTATCTATCCATGGCGGGAGGAAATGTAAAATGCTTGTTTGCCATGAGCAAAGAGTTTTTATACTGGACGTTTGGATAGGAGTATTCGGGATAACACTTCTTTTCTATTACTTGCGATTTCTGATCATATCGTAACTTATTTTATTTTCTCTCATTATGCACTGATTTTCCTCGTTACTATCGCTATCTCATTTATATAACACTAGTACACAATCGCCCACCACATATCATTTCAACTAGAGATCCCGTCGTCGCTTTGCCGCTTTCTTCCTAGAAATGAGAGGCTACCTTGAAAAAGTGTAGCATGTAAATCGAAACTGTTGATGAACGACTGTTTTCGGGCGTGCAAAGCGAAGACGGAAGTGCGAGGGGAAAATCATTGGGAATGTATGTGGAAATCTTTACAATCTACGTCAACGTACACGGGCACGTGAGGCTACGTAATATCTCGAATTTTCACACGTTTCCTAAGCTTATAACATTGTTCTTTCCTCCAATCCGTCATCTATTTGTTAATGTTTTCATCGTGAAACCAATCTCGCCGTATCACTGAAAAATCGCGAAAAACTGAGCAGCTCGTAGTTCTACACGTTTGAAAATATCTCGAGCGTTTGCCAACGGATAGTCGCACAATCTTCAAAAGCAATTGCTTCCCTCTCGGGTAAAAAACGATGAGAGCATTTCGCGTCCGCAGTACGTCATGCTAATCGCGCGCGTCTGGAACGAATCGAAAAACGTTCTTCAATAAAAAATATACCTCTTTTTCTTTCAAATGCTATCGCACTAAATACATCCTCTTTCAAGCTTCCGATTTCAAGTTTGCACCAAACTCGCGGAGGAACGTATCCCGTTTTGAGAAAAACGCCCTGTTTCCTTGGGCTCACATAACAGTGCACACACGACACTTTCGCGAAAGAAGTCGATAGATGAGTTAAAAAACACGCCGAACGGCCCTTCTGTACACGGCGCGCTTCGCGTTAGCGAGATGGAGCGGAAAGAAAGGGGGTGGGGGGAAGGGACAAGGGGGTTAGTGGGTGGCAGGCTTGTTAGCGAGTGGGCTACGTGCGCACGTAGATGGGGACGTAGGGCCCCTCGTAGTAGGTGTGCACGTAGACGAGATTGTGGAGGGGATTGTGGTGGTGGAGCTGGGGCGACGGGAGGGGTGCGCACAGCGGGCTGCTGTTGTTGTTGTTGGTGGGCGAGGGCGACTGGTTGTGGGCTGCGGTGTGCAGCGTGGACACGGACATGACGGGCGAGACGCGGCTCGGGGGCCCCGAGACAGAGACGTTGACGCTTTGCGGGGGCCCGCCGGGCGGCGGCTGGGGCGCGTTTTGGGCGCTGCCCGGCACCCCCGGCTGATAGACCGGCTGGCCGGGCGCGGCCCGGGCCGACGGGTGGGCCTGCGTCGGGTGCGGCGTCGGGTGCGGCGGCGGCCCGTGGACTGCGGCCACCTGGCGCATGTAGTTCGCCGGTGTGAGACATACCTCGAGCCGATCCGTGCGCGGCATCTTCTGCGGCATCGCCACCGTTTGCGGCACCACTCCCAATGGACTGCCCACGCCCGTCGGATCCGCCGGTCCCATGATCGTCGGCATTATCGGGCTCGGCGCGAAGTACGGACTGTACGTGTTGCCGACCTGCGGCATCCCAGTCAGGTAGGGGTTCGTCGCCTGGAACAATTGGGGGCAAAGACAAGGGGGAGCAGGCGGGTACAACCCGATCATATTAGTCACCTTCGTCATGGTTCTCCGCTTGTTTTCTTTTTTCTTATTGCTATTCTCTCTACCTGCGCATCGCGCGTGCGCTGATCCGACGGGCTACGCGCCAGGATTAGCGCACATCTGCGACACGCAATCCGAGCTTCCAAATGAGATTATTCATTATGTGAAATGTCACTGCTCGAAGACTGGGATTCGTGTCGATCGATGGCTCTTTCTCACCCATATCCCATCGCATGCTCAACAGGCAAGTGCGTTTTTAATTGCTTTATTATCAATTACGATTTTTCCAGCTAGTTCCAAAAGCAAGAGTTGTTCATTCATTGAAAGCGCAACTGAATAAGGCTGCACAACAATAACGTTAAAGTTTATTTTTAATGGAAAGCACGAGGTCGTTGATCCAGTTCGAAAAGGGCTTGCACACTTCCTCGTCGTTCCTGTGCTTACGCGTACTGAAGAAAGCTCTCAACAAGCCCACTCGTTAACAAATACATTTTGCATAATCAAGGACAAACATCACGATCGTGCAGAACATTCTATCAATATTCTGAGCTAAATACTAGTGCTTATTTCCGTGCCACTCAAACATCAACGATATGCAAGCATCTGTTGGCGAGACCGTCTGAGTTTTCTGTGAATCGCAGCAGTGTCCATCCGGACCATCCGTCACACTCTCGACTTTCAGTGCGATTACAGAGCTTACAAAAATCCCAGACGGCCTCTTTACTCTAACTGTGATTATCATAACTACGAGAGAAAGTAATCTGTTGCACCGAGTCGTGCCGCTTTGCAGTCTGTAGGTGGATCAAGTACGGCACCAAGCAAGGCGACTATCGGCGTGGAACAACGTCAAAATCAATAGTAAATTACGTAACGGAAAGTTTATAAAGAAAAAAACGAAAAAAAAAAAAAAAAAAAGAAACGATAAAGGTAAAAAATCAAACAAAACAAAGTAAAAAAATTAGTAAAGGCGAAACCAAAACCAAGAGTTACCATAAGAGCGTGGGTAGCGAGCAGTTGCTGGTGGATTTGCTGCTGAAGGTGCTGGTGTGATGGCGCAGGAGGTTGGGCCTCCTGTGTATAATCCGCCAATGACAGGTAATTGGAGAGAGAGAACACACCAACAATCAACCACAACGACGAGCGAGAGCGCACCACAGCGGCAAACATAGGGGACAGACAGGCAGTCGTAACGTGTGTATTACGGGCTTTAGTTTCATCGCGCGCGGTCCACGTTCACGACCAAGTCAATGTAAAAAGAACTCATTTGATGTGTGCGGGTGTGTGCGCGCGCCGCGCCGCGATCACTATGTATTTACACGTTATAAACGCATGGCATTGCAGCTGCTCCTCAATGCTAATGAATTTCACGCCACGCCACAGCAAAGGCATTTCTCCATTGTACGGCTGAAACATCCCGGCTCTCTGCCCTCGGAATTTTCCTCGATTGGGCGCTTGTCTTGTCTGCCTTGTCTTCTATACGCGGGCTAGTTCATTGTTCGCGTGGCGTGGAGAAAACTGTTGAGACTTTCTGCGCGTCGTTTACATTTTTCGGCCGATCTTTTCCAAATTGCTCCTCGCTTGCGAACTTTTACTTTGTTTACTTTACATTCCTTACTTTTTCTGCGCACGGAAAAATTCATTAGCATTTGCTCGAGCGTTTCATACGATCATGACAATATTTCAGAGGCAGATCTTCAATCTACTGAGTGAACAAACGTTTCGAAACTGTCTGCGATATTTGCAGAATTAGCACATCACACAAATCATACTGAAGATTTGCTTTACTGAAATCTAATTACTGAATATTATAATATAGGTATGCAACCATTAAAGCCATTATACAATAGATTTAAACGTCGAATGACATCGAAAAAGACCATGCATATTATTAACACATTTTTCAATATAATACTTTCGAAATGCATTCCATGGCATACCGAACGTTCGGCTATCAACGACCAAATCTATGTAATGCTACCGTAATGCAGTGGTGCCAAACGTTCGCTACTCCACAAGCTACTCGACAAGAAAAATCTACGAAAAACTTGGCGTGATACTCAATATAAGTATATATATGAACAATGTGATGTAAAAAAAACACAAAATCATTGCAATAATTATTGGACGTTAGAGAGGTCAACCAAATAATATAAAAGGAAAAAAAGAAAAGTACAACAAAAAACATTTAATAAAAAAAATTGGTATTGTTAAAGAGTGACAAAAGTTAAGAGTAAAGCGACGATGCTATAAGAAAAACTCGCATAATAGTGAAGAGCGAAAGCGGGGCCGTACAGCATCAAATGGCGTATAATTAATAAGAGGGCTGCCTAGGCGAGCGATCGTCTAGCGTATACGTACCACTGCGGGCACCTGACCAGGCACAAGGGGCTGGCCAGGGCCAAGACCCATTTGTTGTATGAGGGCATTCTTGAGCGCCAAATGATTTCGTCCATTTATCAGGAGCTGGTCCTTCAAGTGTTGTGGTGGGTGGAAGTATTTGCAGGGTGGCTTCTCTCGATTACACCGCCCCTGCAAGAGAGAAATAAATCAAAATCGACGGTTAATCGCTCGACTCTCACAGCATTCCCCGGCGACTGCACAGCGCGAGAAAGTGTGGCAAATTAAGCGGATTGCTTCGTCAATCTCGGAAATATAATTAGAAGAGGCGCGCGCTCGCACGGAAGACTGCCAAGTGATTGGTCTGCTTCAAATGAGCAAAAGCGCGCGCGCGCGCGCGCTTCAAATATTTATCCGTACTTCGGGGGCTAATCTCGGAGGAGGCTGGATGGGGACGAGATTGCCAACTTCAAAGGCTCGCTTCGCGAGCTGCGAAACTCGACGCTGCTCATCACAGTTAGCAAACTGCATAGTCGGCGTCGTCGTCGTCGCGTCGTCGTCGTCGCCGTCGCCGCCACCGCCGCCGCCGCCGCCGTCGAACCTCGCGATGCAATTTCAAGTTCGAAAGACGCGCCGCGCCAGGGCAGCTAATGGCGCGTCGATTCGAATTGAATATATCTCGCGTTCTCGCTCGCGGGATTAGCCTTGTTGACGCGGCCACTTGTACTTTTTGATCTCGACTACTTGGCGCCGCTGCGCGTTGATTGTGTGGTTGCTACAGCATCAATAAACTTTCTCAAGAGTCAAGTTCAGCAGCTCATCATTCCGGTCCGATGGCTTTTCTTTCTCTTTGCGAAAGCTCAGCAAGCCTCCCAAGTTGCAGCTCTGGGGGCAAACTCTCAGCGACGCTCGCGCGCCTCTCAAATATCGCCTAATTAAGCGCATTCGAGAGTTGCTGTTTAAAGCGAATAATGGGACGGGTGGTACGGTGGGCCGCCGGCTGTATGCGTGTAGCTACTGTACTAAACTTGGCGTTATGAAGACTCGACTTTACTCTCGGCCTCCTTGATGCTCCTCCAGATGCTCGCTCTCTCCTCGGAACAGCAAATCTTTCGGCACTCCGCTCTGGCGCTTTTACATTGCCCAAGCCATTCGAATGTTTGCGCAGCAAACTTGGCTCTGCGCGTGCCTCGCTACGGTATGTTCAAGCGACAGAACACGGCGTTGCTCAACGCAGGCGCACAGGACAAAACAATAATGTTGGCTCCGAACAACGGAACAGCGACAACGAAACAGCAACAACGACAACAACGACAACAACGACAACAACATCAAGAACAGCAAGAATAACAACAGCAATATGGTAAAGTTGTCGAGTTTTTTGTGCGAGCCCGCAAGCAGTGCAATAACAGGGGGAATTATGCAGATGCTGGGGGCAATGCGAGTGGATGGTTGGAGGTGCGTATCTGATTTAAATAGCGGGAGAGAGAGGGGGGGGAGAGAGCCGCTATCTGTCTGGGCCGGAGGCGCTTCCAGCCAATTTCAGGCCCCGAGGCGATCGCTTATTTATGCACGTCAGCTCCCCATTAGCGACGATAAATCAGCGACGAACGCACGCCCGATAGATTAGCGGCTGCGTTGCCGCGCTATCTCTCGTCCAGTTACGCAGATTTCTTCCGGGGCACTCGCCCGCTCACCTACGCTCCACAACAACGCCAACATTCGCGCCCCCGTCCTCGTCGTTTCCGTGCCAAGTGCTACTTTCAGTAGGCTGCCCGTCAGATAAGCCCTTGAATTTTACCGATTTATCGCAGCTGCCCTCCCCACTACACCCACTACACCTTTGCGTAGCCGCTGATAGCGCTATTGTCCTATTTCCGTTAATCTGCCGATATTGCCATTTAAATGTCGCGTTTTACCTAAATATCACTGGATGTGCCAACGCAAATTTCGCCCATGAAGCATTATCACTGCTACTGTCTCGGCGCGATCACTCGACAAATGGCCAGATCTCCCTCCTCCCGCCAACAACGGAAATAAATAAATCTCGAAAGAAACATGAATAATGACGATGAGGCACGCTGCTATCGCTTAAACGGCGCTTAACAGCTATAGCTCGAGCAGCGACTTGATAAACCATCAATCTTAACACAGACGTCTCCGCGGATAGTCTTCAGAAGTGCTGTGACGCGCCGAGAATCAGAATCGCGGAAAGCTTTCCTTACATGTCCGGTTATTGTTTTCATTTTCTTTGCAAGCTTTCTAAGATGACGACGACGATGGCAAAGGGCTGGCCCGCCTCCCTGAAGACGAGCGTCGAGCTTAATTATCACGGCTGAACGACGTGATAATTGGGATCAAGATTGATCGTCCCTTTCCTCTCCGAAGCTTTCACATCCGCACACTCTACTACGTCTACTACGACGCAGCTCTCGCTCGGAAAGCCCATGTTTTTTCTTCTCTCTCCTCTCGATAAACTCCAGTGGCTTATTTTGAAGCTTGCAACGGTCTGCAGTAATGAGGAAAAAAATTCTATTTGGTCGAAATTGATGGGATCGTGGACGATACGGATCAATTTCACCAGAAAGTAAAAACTATAATCTCTCAACGAGGGACCCAATTTACAAAACTGTTACTTCATGTCTTGGGTAAAAGAACGTTCGCAGCGAACCTGTTGTCCGACGAACCTTCGTTTAGCATTACAAATGAAAAATAAAACTCGTATAGTCATAAAAAAAGGAAAAAGGAACAGCCATTCGTAGGTCTTGCTCATGGTGGTTGGTCTTGGGTGCCAAGCGGCATCTTTCGTGGGTGGCCGCGGCTCAAATCCGTCTTGGTGAACACGATCCTCGAGAGCTACGGTAACCCTACTTTATAACCCAGCGCATCGTCAAGTCTCTTTCCCTTTCGCTCGACCTAATCCTTCCGCTAGTAGCCTCTCGTATATACATCTCTCTCCTCTTACCTTCTCCGATCTTCGAACTTTGCGAAATTACTACATTCGAATACCTGGGCGTCCCTGTTTTCTCATTTCTTTTTAATCATCCTAATAGTATCGCACATGAGTTTTCTAACGCACTGACAAAAGCAAACCCACACGGAAGTTGCGTTATCTTCGAAGCGGTAAATCTCCTCGTATGTATGCGTACATTATACGACGTGGCGTCGTGGAGGCAAGATCGCTAGAAAAGCATTTCTTCCCAGCACATAAGTCTCCCGTGCGTTACTCGCCCTTCATTCCCGTAATGGGATCGGCGACGATAGGCACGATGTTGGCTACACAACATTAGTGAAAAAGAATAACGAAAAGCTGTAACTTGAAATACGTGGATAGCGAATGAAACACCATTGACTGAAGAATAATCGACGGTTCGATATAGTTTGAAGGATGTGCCGTGGAGTAGCTAAAAACTGTTCTTATCCTGCAGTAACAGCAAATCTATAGGGGCATTGACGGCAAATGAAAGAAGCAAAGTTGCCGCTGTAAAAAGAAGAAGAAGAAGAAGAAGAAGAAGAAGGAGAAGTAAGAAGCAGCGGAAGTGGACGAAGAGAGTACGTGTCTTCCGTGGAAAACGGCGAATATTCGTGAGATGCGTAGATCGTAGCTCGGCGAACAAACGAGGTTAAAACTTGGGCGGAATTGGCACTTGGCTCTTGTTTCATTTGAGGGCCAGAACGAGATTAAAGTGGACCTCATATCGCAAGCAGCGAGCGCGAGGAAGAGGCGCGGGCGGTGGACTGCGTGGTTACGAGCAATTTTCGTGTCTACGCTGCGAGAGTCGTAAAACCGATGTTTCCCGGCACAGAACGCAAAAAAAAAGACAAAGTCTCGCGTTTACACGCAGCTCTCCGAATGAAAGAACGCGTATAACGCGATATTCGAGAAGTTGGCGTCTCCGCGAGCCTGCCGCGCGCACCCATATCATATACGCCCCCACCCCCTCTTTTCTCAATACCTCTCGCGAGAGGCGCCGCGAGCAGCTCCTACTTTATTACGCTTCCCCGCTCGAGAGCTTTTCTCGCGACTGGAGTTTTCTTGACATTCAAAAATGCATGCGCCAAGCAAATATTTAGACTGGCGACCCGGCGGCAATAAAAATTGCGAACACGTTTGCAGCCGAAGACGAAGAAGAAGAGGCGAGCCGAGAAGGCTTAATTTAAGTCTGTCACGAGGACGCGTGGAAAAGTCATTGCGACTAGTCTCTCGGCGAGGCAGTTGTTGTCGAAGCGCAAACACTTGATGCCGAAGGGTTACTAACAATGTTTTGATTAGGCGCGAGTCAAGGTGCTGCCGCAGCAGCCATTGAGGATTAATTCATATTCCAGCCATGGCAGATTGGGAGAGCGGCGCAGACGTGCGATTTGACATGCGACGGTTGTCGGCGAAACAGCTCAGCGGCAGTCGCGCACGAAGAAAGAGACCGTCCGCCGGCAGCGCGCGCCGCGGCCCCAACTTTGACGCAATTCCAGACAACACCTCGACATCCAGACGAACTTGTTATGCCGAGGCAACCAAACTTCTCGCTGCCTTCTCGCTGCCTTCTCGCTGCCTTCTCTCTGCCTTCTCCCTGTCTTCCCCCTGCCATCTCCCTGCCTCAGCCACCCGGCTCGTGCGCGCGTATCTTCTTCCGACTCAACGTTCCATTGTTTTTCTTTGCTCCCAACTCGCTTTGACCTGACGCCAGCTAGCTCAGGTGGATTAATCGGGGGCAAGTCTCCAGAGGAGGCTCCAGTAGCTTCGGCTCGAATGGCCAATCGAAAACTCCCCACTGGCGATCTTGCATGCAGAGTACCTTTGATCCACGATAGACCGTCAAGTGTTCGGCAGCGAGTATCATTACGGCCAAAGATTGCAGGGGATAAGTATACGCTTCATCGGGGATCTACGCAGGCGAGAAACGAAAGGCAATTGGGTGGCGCGATTTGGTATTCGATGCTGTAGTATGTACGAATCGAATGCTAGACGTCGGATTGGTTGACGCACGCGATTGCACGATAAACGACGAATGCAGAGGGTGAAAATTCGACGGAGCAGCGACAGCAGCGACGGTTAATGACGAGGGGATGACTTTCTCGCTAAGAGGACGAGTCTTGTAGTTTGGCGGGCTGCTCGCGCGAAAAAACGATGATTTATTCTGGGGAAAAGTGAGTTTGTGTCTAATGAAGCCGCCACCGCCACCGCCGTCGACGAG